CTCCATCTATCAAAGATTCATTTGAATTTTGCACGAGTCTTGTTTCCTTGCCAGAAACAGGGTTGCTTTCCACAAATTGACAGAGATCTTCCTAATTGGTTGTGAGAAAGTGGAGGCCCTGCCCATCTGCATCCACAAACTTCCCTCCCTTCAAAAGTTGTTGATAATAAATTGTCCAACATTTCATCCTTCCCTAAGAATGGCTTCCGACCACCTTACAGCTCTTAAACTTGACAACTTCAATCTTTAAGCCGTTGTTCGAGTGGGGATTGTACAGACTCACCTCTCTTAGACAACTTTCCATTGATGGAGGAGTTCAAACCTGGTGTCTTTTCCACAAGTTCCTGCCTCTCTAACCAACCTGAAGATTGAACATTTTCCGAATTTGGAAGCATTTCCTGCATTGATCAAAGCCTCATTTCCTTGTAAGAACTACATCTGTCTGGTTGCCCCAAGCTCAAATATTTTCCCAGAAGGGCCTGCCTTCCTCAGTTGCGTACTGTATATAGATGAATGTCCTCTCTGAAACACAAGTGCAAAAAATTTACAGGAAGTATGGCCTGTGATTGCCCGCATACCTTACATCGACATTTTGTGACTACAACGGTCATTTTAAGATTTGAGCTTCAGTAATCCAATTCTGAACCATTTGTAAAGATAAATTCGATTTCCAGCACTTTCATTGTGTTAAATTCTGATAATTAGCTGGAAATGTAACAGTTTGTCAACTTGTTTTTGAATATGTTTGGCCCAAAGGGTATTGCAATCTACCGTCTGTCAGTTTTGTGAGGCAGCCTAGGTTGATTCATTGTAATGCTTTAGATTTGTACTGCCAGTTTAGGGATGTGTTTATAATGTTTGTTGTAAGTTGGTATTAATTTATGGCTTTAGATTAATGTTGGATAAAATATGTCTGCAAAGTTGTCAACAGTGAACTTTTGCTTTATTAGTTATAATGTAAACTCAGTTGGTAATGCAGTCAGTTTACTCTCTTCATTTTTCATTGGTTCCTCCTCTTTCTTCTTTGTATTCTCCGTGTAAGCAACAACAAAATGTATCAGAGCTTGGTTACTTAGCTAAAAATCTGAACCTTTTCTTTCCTTATCACCTCATATGTCTTTCCGAAAAAACTACCCTGCATCAAACCTGTTTTTTCTAAATCAATGGCCCTCAGACAACTTCTCTTCTACCTCCTATATTTAATGGTGAGCACAACTATATATGGACTGTCAAAATAAAGGCGTATCAGGGGTCAAGGACTCTGGCAATATGCAAGAAGAGAAACAACCCCCTCAATTGGGACCAAATCCCCACTCAACCAAATCCGTTGCATGAAAAAAGTTTCAAAGGCTCCAAGAGCCTTATCCCACATCACTCAGCTGTCATAGACCTTGTTTTGCAAGGATCAGAGCATGCGAAATAGCAAGAATCTTGGGACAAGTTAAAGGGAGAGTTCACGGGGAGTGACACTACAAGAAACATGCATTGCTAAACTTGAGGGGAATTTGAGACATTGAGAATGCGGAGGCTGAGAAAGTGCAGGAATGTTGTATAGGTTGATGAATATAGTCAACAAAATCAAGTTGCTTGGAATGGAGATGTTAGATAGAAGAGTAGTGGAAAGGTGTAATAAGCTTACTGAAAGGTTTGAAGCAAAGATCTCATCTTTGGAGGACTCAAAAGACCTGACTTAGATCACTTTGACTGAGTTAGTTCATGCTCTGTAGGCACAAGCGTAGAGAAGGCTCCTAAGGTTAGAGGATGCGAATGAAGAGGCAATGTTAGCAGCTCACAAGGCAAGTCTGCACAAGGAATAACGGAAGGTTTGCTGAAAAGAAAGGAAAAGAAAGGTCAAATACCAGTGGAACAAAGTTGGTGGAATAAGAATTTTCCAGCTTGTTCCCACTGTAAAAGGAAGGACATGCAGAGCATAGATGTTGGTTCAGGCATGGAATATAGATATGGCTTGAAATATATATATATATATATATATATATATATATAATATATATATATTATATATATATTATAAAATATATATATATATAAAATAATGGGCCCATACAAATTTTTACATAATATAATAAAGTCACAAAACATCACTCGACAGTGTTGCCAAACCCTTCCGCTTCTTGACGTTCAGAGACCGCATCTCATCTACTACCTGCAAAAACATTGAAAACAACGGGGTGAGCATAATTGCTCAGTAAGTAAACCTGCTATGCTACTCTTCTCTCTCCGTTGCTTAAATCTGAATTTCTTTCCTTACATCATACCTCTCTATTCTTCTATGTTCTTTCTCTTATTCTTCTCTATTTCTAATTTCTCACTACCCATGATAATAGGCATGGTATCACGCATAGGTATGATGCAAATGCACAAATGCATAGAATGTTGCATTTTCTTTTTCTTTTTTTCTGTTTTTCTTTTTTTTCTATTTTCTTATTCTTATTCTGTTTCTTTTCTCTGTACTTTTCTATTCTTCTTTCTTTCTATTCTTTCTTCTTTTCTATTGTTTCTTTCTTTCTATTGTTTTCTTTTTCTTTTCTATTGTTTCTTTCTTTCTTGCCGATCAGACTCGGTTGAGGCATGGATTTGGAACCCTGGCTGTGTGAGTGTATTCTCTAATTCTGGGTATAGTCCTCATCTACGCACTTCTAACGGACTGTACAATTCTCTTTCTAATTCTAAGGCTGCCACTAAAGGCGGTGTGCATGCGGCTATGTCACTCATGGTTCCCCTCACAACAACCCTTTCTTCTTTATCTTTTACACTTCTTCAAACAAAAATCTATGACACGGCCGCTTATCGGCCGGCATCTGGCAAAGACAGAACGGTGAAGTGACAATTTGCTAGAGACACCTAAGATTCAATGAAAAAGATAGCTTTTCACAATTTCCTTCTTCTTTCCTTCTCTATGGCAAGGTGTAGAAAAGGACACAGAGTAATGCTTTATTGGGAGGCAAAAATGACCGGGTCACCGAATCTGGCCTCCAATGAGTCAAAATCATGCCAAGTTTACTTTCTAAGTCTTCTTGAAGACTTGAACCTTAATATTGACTTCAGAGGCACTTTGAACCATGGTTAGCAAGTTTAATTTTTTAAATTATATATTATATATTATATCGCTATTATAAGATATATTATTTTTTCTAAATAATAAAAAATTTTAAAAAATTAATATTATCTCCATAATTAATTAACAAATTTTATGGTATTATTAACTTTAAATTATTGTATTACATAATCAAAATTAATTACAAAATTAAGAATCTTCATTTTCAAGATCAATATCAATATGTATAACTTCACTTGTGTTATTATTATCATGCAAAATAGACAACACATCTTCTTTTTCACTTTCTCCATGTAAAATGGATAAATTTATACAGGTTTTAGTGAACTAGGTTGGGTGACCCAGATTCGACCTTAAAATTTTTTTGGACCTTTGGCCTAAATTAATAAAGTCGTATCGATTTGTATCGATATTTTTAAGGATACAAACGGATACGTATTGTATCGTAGGATACATATCAACGTATCGAAAAGTTTATAATACACTCTCTGATACGTATCGTTTGCGATCAATATACATATTACGTATCGTATTATAAGATACGTATCGCATATCGTAGAATACTAATAACCATGCTTTGAACATTGATGTTTGAACGTTAATGCTGACTTGAAAGGATTTAAAATATGGCGGCATCGAGTCTCAAACAAGAAAAAAAAATATATGCTCTGAATGTGATGGTTTTTGGCCGGAGAGCACAAAGAAAAGAAAAAGAAACTAAAGAGTGTATGAAGATGTCTATGTCCATTTCATTTAGACTGACAATATATATAAAACTTAACCAAACCATTTACTGTTATAATAACTACAGCAGACATATTCATATTTGAATTTAAATTTAAACAACCAATAAACCATCATTTTCTTGACTTAATCACACCTAATCCAAACAACTAAAATAAACCAAAATTACTGCAGCCATGCACGACAGACCTGTTGGACAATCAAAAGAAATAAGAAAAAGAAAAGGGAAAGTTTCATTGATACTATACAATACAATCAAATATAAAAGAATGATTTAACCCAAATATAAAGATATTATATATAAATTAAACAAAGAAAACTAAAAAGACTACCCTACCTTAATAAACAATAAAACAAAATAACTCTACGTTTCTAAACACAACTGCAGAGACGAACTTCAACTGGCTCCAAATATATCCAAACTGCAACATGAAATTTGATAAATTTCCAGAAAGGTATCACTGCATCAACAGAATGCTTAGAGCAAACTAATTAGAACTTCTTCCTGCAGAATCAAGTTCAATATCCTCCATCATTCCTTTCTTTAATCAAAGAAAAGATGTCCATTATTGGAGAGGCTATTCTATCCGCCTCCTTTGATTTCCTCTTCAAGAAGTTGACTTCGCCCCAACTGCTGCAGTTTGCGCGCCAAGAGCATATCCAAGTTGATCTCAACAAGTGGGAGAGAATACTGCTGAAGATTCATGCAGTGCTTCAGGATGCAGAGGAGAAGCAGAGGACCAACGAGTCTGTGAAGATATGGCTTGCCGAGCTTCGGAACTTGGCGTATGGCATTGAAGACTTGTTGGATGAGTTTGCTACTGAAGCTTTGCGAAGGAATTTATTGCTTGATCGCGCTGGAGATGAAGCTACCACAAGTATGGTACGTAAACTCATTCCTACTTGTTGTAGAAGTTCGATTGCATCCCTTAATTTCAATTCTGTGATGAAGTCTAAGATAAAGAAGATCACTATAAGGTTGCAAGAGATTGCAACGGAGAAAAACAACCTGGGTTTGAAAGAGAATTCCGGGTCCGGCAAAGTTGATGAAAAATTACCTACCACCTGTTTGGTTAATGAAGGTAGTGTGTGTGGAAGAGAAAAAGATAAGGAAGCGATAATTGACATGTTGAGAGATGAAGGTACTTGTGGTGGAGTTGATGTTATTCCTATTATAGGAATGGGAGGGGTGGGTAAGACAACTCTCGCACAACTTGTTTACAATGATGATAGAGTGGAAGGTCATTTCGATCTCAGAGTTTGGGTTTGTGTTTCTGATGATTTTGATGCAATCAGAGTAACAAAAGCGATTTTGCAGTCCATTACTGATGAGAATGTAAATGATAGTGATCTAAATATCCTTCAAGTCAAATTGAAGGAGAAACTATGTAGAATGAAGTTTTTACTGGTTTTAGATGATCTTTGGAATGAGAATTATGATAAGTGGACTGTTCTGCGCAAACCGTTTGAAGTAGGTTGTGTAGGAAGTAAGATTGTTGTCACAACTCGCAATGAAGATGTTTCATTAATCGTGGGAACTCTTCCAACTTACTCGTTGAAAGAGTTGTCATATGACGATTGTTTGTGTGTGTTTACTCAACACTCATTGGGGACAAAAGATTTTAGTGATCATCAAGAGTTGAAGAAAATTGGTGAGCAAATTGTGAAAAGGTGTAATGGTTTGCCTTTAGCAGCAAAAACTCTTGGTGGCCTCTTGCGTGGTAAATACGATCTTGGTTATTGGGAAGATGTGCTACATAGCAATATATGGGATTTACCAGAAGAGAGAAGTGGTATTTTACCAGCTCTTAGATTAAGCTACCATTATCTTTCTCCACATTTAAAACAGTGTTTCGCATATTGCTCGATATTTCCTAAAGATTACGCTTTTGAAAAGGAGGAGGTTATTTTGTTATGGATGGCAGAGGGTTTCTTGCAACATGACATTGGCGGAAAACAGATGGAAGATTTAGGTGACAAGTGTTTCAGAGATCTACAATCAAGATCATTTTTCCAACATTCAATCAAGAATAAGTCTCGGTTTGAAATGCATGACTTGATTAATGATCTTGCTCAATGGGCTGCAGGAGAAATATGCTTTAGGTTAGATAACATGCCAGAGGTTGAAAATCAATGGAGAATCTCAAAAAATCTTCGCCATTTATCTTACATTGGTGGATATGATGGCAGCAAGAGATTTCAGGCCTTCCATCAGGTCAAACATTTACGAACTTTCCTGCCATTGCAACTGGAACCGGGACACTTTTACATGGCGTTTGATGTTCTTTTTCATTGGTTGCCAAAGCTACAAAGGTTAAGGGTTTTATCTTTGCATGGATATTGCATCTCAGAGCTACCAAATGAAATCGAATGTTTAAAGCATTTACGATATCTTGATCTTTCTAATACTGAAATTAAGTTTTTACCTGAAGCAATTGGTAGATTTTACAATTTACAGACGCTTATATTAGTAAGATGTTGTTATCTGAAGAAACTCTGTACAGATATGGAGAACCTGTTTAACTTGCGCCATCTTAAGATGGATCTTGTAGATTCTTTGGAAGGAATGCCTCGAAACATCGGTAAATTAACTTCTCTTCGAACAATGCCTAATTTTGTTGTGGGCAAAGGTGCTAGCTCTAGCCTAAGAGAGTTGAAATCTTTGCGCAATCTTCAAGAGAAGCTCAGAATTTCTAGGCTGGAGAATGTAAATGATTTTGAGGATGCCAAGGAGGCTGACTTAAATGGCAAGAAAAAACTGGATGTGATTTCATTGGAATGGAGTAGCAGAAAGATTGAGAATTCATCAAGGAAAGTAGACACTGAAACACATGTGCTTGACTTGCTACAACCTCACAAGAAACTGAAAGAGCTCAGTATCAAGGGCTATGGTGGTGCAAAATTTCCCACCTGGTTAGGCGATTCCGAATTCGCTACATTAGTACTCCTAAGATTTGAAAATTGCAACACATGTACTTCTTTGCCACCAGTCGGGCAACTGCCCTCGCTCAAGCACCTTGTTATCAAAGGAATGGCGGGAGTAAGGACAGTGGGGTCAGAGTTTTATGGAAATGGTTGCTCAGAGTATTTTCCATCTCTAGAGACTCTTTCTTTCGAGAGTATGCTAAAATGGGAAGACTGGATTTCTCATGGATGTGGTCTGGAAGCTAAAGCTTTCTTTCGCCTGCGGGAGCTTTGTGTTGCAAATTGTTCTAAACTGGTGGGAAGATTGCCGGAAAATCTTCCTTCATTGGAAAGCCTTGTCGTCAGAAGCTGTAAGCAATTGCAGGTGCCAATTCCAAGTCTTCCAACACTCTGCAGATTAAAGATTGATGGATGTAAACAGATAGTCCAGAGAAATACAGTTGACCTCACTTCATTGAGTTCAGTTGTTCTTTCTGATCTTTCAACTCATGTATTTCTACAGTGGTTTATGGGAGGGTTATCGGTGGTAAAAAATCTAAGGATTGTTGGTTGTAAAGCGCTAACATCTTTATGGCATAATAGAGATGAATTACAACAAAATATTTGCTGCATTGATCCACTGGCCATTGAGCACTTTCACCGACTTATTTCCTCGGTAGAGGAAGAAGAAGAGGAACAGCAGCATTTGTTCCCTTATAGACTACAATCTCTGAAATTAGGAGACTGCGAATGCCTTGTGAAGCTACCATGGGCATTGAACAACTTCAGTTCTCTTAGAAAGGTTTGTATTACAAACTGCCCGAAACTTGTGTCCTTTCCAGAGACTGAGCTCCCATCCCTGCTGAAATTCTTTGAAATCGACAGATGTGACACACTAAAATCCTTACCTGAGGCATGGATGAAAAACAACTCATCCCTTGAAAGTCTGTCTATCAAACGTTGTGATTCTTTGCCATATGTTTCCAGAATCCGGCTACCTCTGAATCTGAAGCGACTGGAGATTACATGTTGCGATAACATAAGGTCCATCATATACGACGACGAGGAAGTTCTAATAATGCAGAAGAAAATCAAGAATGGCAGCAGAAGAAACACTTCTCTTCTTCAGTACTTGGAGATTGGAGATTGTTCTTCTCTCACTTCCTTATGGTCAAACAGCGAGTTACCTGTCACACTTCAAAATATTAAGATCGTGAAATGCTCAAAGCTTTCTTCCTTGTCATCAACAGGCAATCTACCTGATGCTCTTGAAAGTATTGAGATTTTTCAGTGTGAAAATCTTAAATTCATACCTGAAGATCTGCACAAACTCCGCCATCTATCAAAGATTCATTTGAATTTTTGCACGAGTCTTGTTTCCTTGCCAGAAACAGGGTTGCTTTCCACAAAATTGACAGAGATCTTCCTAATTGGTTGTGAGAAACTGGAGGCCCTGCCCATCTGCATCCACAAACTTCCCTCCCTTCAAAAGTTGTTGATAATAAATTGTCCAAACATTTCATCCTTCCCTAAGAATGGCTTTCCAACCAACCTTACAACGCTTAAACTTGACAATCTTCAGATCTTTAAGCCGTTGTTCGAGTGGGGATTGTACAGACTCACCTCTCTTAGACAACTTTCCATTGATGGAGGATGTTCAAACCTGGTGTCTTTTCCACAAGTTCCTGCCTCTCTAACCAACCTGAAGATTGAACATTTTCCGAATTTGGAGAGCATTTCCTGCATTGATCAAAGCCTCATTTCCTTGTAAGAACTACATCTGTCTGGTTGCCCCAAGCTCAAATATTTTCCCGAGAAGGGCCTGCCTTCCTCAGTTGCAGTACTGTATATAGATGAATGTCCTCTGCTGAAACACAAGTGCAAAAAATTTACAGGAAAGTATTGGCCTGTGATTGCCCGCATACCTTACATCGACATTTGTTGACTACAACGGTCAATTTTAAGATTTGAGCTTCAGTAATCCAATTCTGAAACCATTTGTAAAGATAAATTCGATTTCCAGCACTTTCATTGTGTTAAATTCTGATAATTAGCTGGAAATGTAACAGTTTGTCAACTTGTTTTTGAATATGTTATGGCGCCAAAGGGTATTGCAATCTACCGTCTGTCAGTTTTGTGAGGCAGCCTAGGTTGATTCATTTTGTAATGCTTTAGATTTGTACTGCCAGGTTATATGGGATGTGTTTATAATGTTTGTTGTAAGTTGGTATTAATGTATGGCTTTAGATTAATGTTGGATAAAATATGTCTGCAAAGTTGTCAACAGTGAACTTTTGCTTTATTAGTTATAATGTAAACTCAGTTGGTAATGCAGTCAGTTTACTCTCTTCATTTTTCATTGGTTCCTCTCTTTCTTTTCTTTGTATTCTCCGGTGTAAGCAACAACAAAATGGTATCAGAGCTTGGTTACTTGAGCTAAAAAATCTGAACCTTTTCTTTCCCTTGATCACCTCATATGTCTTTCCGAAAAAACTACCCTGCATCAAACCTGTTTTTCTTAAATCAATGGCCACTCAGACAACTTCTCTTCTACCTCCTATATTTAATGGTGAGCACAACTATATATGGACTGTCAAAATAAAGGCGTATCTAAGGGGTCAAGGACTCTGGCAATATGCAGAAGAAGAGAAACAACCCCCTCAATTGGGACCAAATCCCGCACTCAACCAAATCCGGTTGCATGAAGAAAAAGTTTCAAAGGCTCCAAGAGCCTTATCCCACATTCACTCAGCTGTCATAGACCTTGTTTTTGCAAGGATCAGAGCATGCGAAATAGCAAAAGAATCTTGGGACAAGTTAAAGGGAGGAGTTCACGGGGAGTGACACTACAAGAAACATGCAAGTGCTAAACTTGAGAAGGGAATTTGAGACATTGAGAATGCAGGAGGCTGAGAAAGTGCAGGAATGTGTTGATAGGTTGATGAATATAGTCAACAAAATCAAGTTGCTTGGAATGGAGATGTTAGATAGAAGAGTAGTGGAGAAGGTGATAATAAGCTTACTGGAAAGGTTTGAAGCAAAGATCTCATCTTTGGAGGACTCAAAAGACCTGACTTAGATCACTTTGACTGAGTTAGTTCATGCTCTGTAGGCACAAGCGTAGAGAAGGCTCCTAAGGTTAGAGGATGCGAATGAAGAGGCAATGTTAGCAGCTCACAAGGGCAAGTCTGCACAAGGAAATAACGGAAGGTTTGCTGGAGAAAAGAAAGGAAAAGAAAGGTCAAATAACCAGTGGAACAAAGTTGGTGGAATAAAGAATTTTCCAGCTTGTTCCCACTGTAAAAGGAAGGGACATGCAGAGCATAGATGTTGGTTCAGGCATGGAATATAGTATAGGGCTTGAAATATATATATATATATATATAGATATATATATATAAATATATATATATATATAATTATATATATATATATATATATATATATATAAAATAATGGGCCCATAACAAATTTTTACATAATATAATAAAGTCACACAAAACATCACTCGACAGTGTTGCCAAACCCTTCCGCTTCTTGAGTTCCAAGAGACCGCAATCTCATCTACTACCTGCAAAAACATTGAAAAAACGGGGTGAGCATAATTGCTCGTAAGTAACCTGCTATGCTACTCTTCTCTCTCCGTTGCTTAAATCTGAATTTCTTTCCTTACATCATACCTCTCTATTTTCTATGTTCTTCTCTATTCTTTCTCTATTTCTAATTTCTCACTACCATGATAATAGGCATGTGTTCACGCATAGGTATGATGCAAATGCACAAATGCAAGAATGGCATTTTCTTTTCGTTTTCTGTTTTTCTGTTTCTATTTCTATTCTTATTCTGTTTCTTTCTCTGTACTTTTTCTATGCTTTTCTTTTTTCTATTCTTTTTCTTTCTATTGTTTCTTTCTTTTTGTTTCTTCTTTTTCTATTGTTTCTTTCTTTCTTGCCGATCAGACTCGGTTGAGGCATGGATTTGGAACCCTGGCTGTGTGAGTGTATTCTCTAATTTGGGTATAGTCCTCATCTACATGCACTTCTAACGGACTGTACAATTTTCTTTTCTAATTAAGGCTGCTCATAAAGGCGGTTGGCATGCGGGGCTATGTCACTCATGGGTTCCCCATCACACAACCCTTTCTTCTTTATCTTTTTACACTTCTTTAAATAAAATTTTAGATTTGAACTTCTTTAATATTTCTCATTTTCTTCTATTTGTTCTTAACTTTAATGTTCATTATTGCTCTTTAATGCTCTTATGGTATGTTGCATGTATAGGGCTCATGCTATTGTTCTTTATAAATTCACATGTTTGGATGCAATATGGAATGTGAACATGTCATTCTCAACATCTCCAACTCATCTCAAGATATCAAATAATATAATCATGTATGCACTTCTCTTTGACATTTCATCAAACAATTTATAGCACACATCAACTCTAATTTGGCTACATTTCTCTTCTTCTAAGCCCTCAAAATTGGAAAAAACACACAAGATAACGCAAGCCTGTCCAGGATTCACACTCCATAAATCTACTCCAATTCATCAAACTCTCATCAAACATCAAGTACAAACACTACTTCTCATGGATAAATTCTAACCATCATTCAAATCAATTCCATCAACAATTTTTCAATATAAGCATATACATGTATAAAGAAATTCTCTACAATTCATCCAAACTCTCTTTCTCTTGTTCTTTAATATTCTCATATATGTGTATGTGCATGGAAATATGCTCACTCTTTGCTATTCTTTTTAAATGCAAATGTGAGAATGCATTATGGCATATAAAGATATCATTTTGGAATAGTATTCTCTACCAACAATATTCCCATATGAAATCAGTCATAGATATTAGACTAAAACATAACTAATAAATTAGAGGTACTTTTGAGGTAGCATTTTGCATAGGTCATATTCAAGAAGTCATATCTCAAGCTATACACATCGGATTACTATGATTTGGTCTAATTTAAAGCTTAGAGAAAGGGCTACAACTTTTATGTTTAAGTCTCAACCCAATCGATGGGTAAGATGCTCAAAAATCACTCAGAAAGTCACAGATTTGAAAGGGACACATGGTAACATGTTTTTTCTTAGGATTGTTATCAAACAATTCATATGCACATGACTACTCAATGTTGGCTACACTTCCACAACTCTTAATTCAACCAAATTGTGAGCCAAAAAACTCACTAAATTGAGTATCAAACTGGCCGAATTTCTCACTTCTCTACACTCCAAAATCTTAACACAAAACTTCCACAACTTTACCAATCATACACATAACCTACACTACTTCTCATGGCTACAATTTATACATGAATAAACATAAAAAACAGCCATAATTCTCTCATACCAACACATACAAACATGCAAAAAAAATCATTCAGCAAAGTCTTGTCAAATTAAGGGTCAAATTAGGTTTACTTACCTTGAATTGAGCAACTCCAACACCATACTCTCTCTTTGGTAGATTCCTCCTTCTCAAACCCTAGACATATACAACCATAAGAATTCAAAACTTTAAAATTTAATCTCACTTCTTGGTGCAAGAATCTTACCTTTGGATGCTGGATTGAAAATCTATCAAAGTTAGCCAAAATCTATGAATTCCTTGGAAATTTAATGAAGAAATTATAGAGAATTTGGGAGAGAATGGCTTGAATGGAGGGTAGAGTAGCTAGGGTTTCTCTTCTTCAACTCTTAATATCATAAAATAATATATATAGATTCCCATTTTACCCTTGCACTTCTATAAAATTTCATCTTTGCCCTTTAGTCAATTACAATAATGCCCTCATCTCCATTGCATTCTCATGAAATTCTACTACTTTTCACTCCCCACACTTTCGTCTAATTATGAGTTAAAGACCATTTTACCCCTAATGACAATTTAAGAGATTTTTTTCACACTTTTCAAGATAACTTAACAAAATTCAACTAAGGGTATTAGGACATAAATAAAGCCACATACTTTAATGTGGGCGTTACAAAAAAATCAGGCCTGGAACCTTGTGTACAGACAAAAAAAGGAAGGTGATCCAAGTAAAATGGAATTTTAGAAAGAGTTAAATATGGATGCTTCAGTTCTGAAGCAAAGGCCAGGCTTGTTGCTAAAGGATTTGCTCAGCAATATGGATTGGATTTCCTGGAGATATTTGCACCAGTAGCCCGGCATGACACCACAAACTGCTACTACTGTGGCAGCTCAATTTTCTTGGAAGGTTCATCAATTGGATGTTAAATCGCTTCTTGAATGGCTGGTTGAATGAGGAAATTTATATTGAACAACCTGAAGGGTATCAGATTCAAGGAGAAGAAGGAAAAGTCTACTTGCGAAGAAAGTCTATATGGCCTAAAACAGGCACCAAGGGCCTGGTATAGCAGGATTAATGACCACTGCTCAGTTTAGACTTTGTGAGAAGCCCAATGAGCAACTCTATACATTAGAGAAGTCGAAGAGATGTAATGATCATTTCTCTATATGTGGATGATCTTCTAGTAATTGGAAGCAATCATGCTCAAGTGGGGAATTCAAAAATCCATGCACAATGAGTTTGAATGACAGACTTGGGTGAAATGTCATACTTTCTTGGGATGGAGATTGATACAGATGTAGATGGTATTTTTGTGAATCAAAGGAAGTATGCAAGTGAAGTCCTTAAGAAGTTCTGCCTGGAGAATTGTAAACTAGTGGACCTGCCATTGGTTCCAAATCTGAAGGGTCAAAGGTGATGAAGCTGAGAGGTTGATGAAGGAT